AATGCAACATTTATATACAATTTATCAATTACAAATTGGACAAATTAGCGTGTGTCGTGTGCATAAATTGTATGTGTAATTGTTTAGTTAATGAATGTCTCTTGTTTGATATTGTCCGTTAGCTCGCTGTTTCTTTGTTTGTGTCGAAGATTGTAATTATGACTGATAAGGGTTTTTGGAAAAGAGTTTTTTAGAGTGGTCTACCCTTAATCGTTTTTTGTTTACTTATCTTTAGTAGTGAATATAATTCACTGTACATAAGTAAGTCGAGTAAAGTGTTCACAGAGTCGATCGTTGAATGTTCGAATGTGAGTCAGTAAATGTTTTTTGAGCGCAGCAGAATTCTGGTTTGAAACGACGTGGAGTATATTGGCAATTACTCTGCGAATTCGTGAGACTGACTGTCTGGGGCTGTCTGCGTTTGCTTTTATATCGTTTGGGTTTTCAAAAGTGGCTCAACTCATTTTGGCGCAATTTCTGTTTCTGCAAGTGATTGACCAATGGGGTTGCTTGCTTCGATTCTCGCCATTTCTATTGGTTGAGGTCTTTTTAGTACGTAGGCGTACGATGTGGACTGTACTTTTTATAGGTTGGAAAGGTAAGGATATTGGATGAGTCCACAATGTAATCATAAGTTCTATTCTAAGAGTTTCTTTTCTTACATTTCTCAACTATGGAATTCTCTCCCAGTTTCTTGCTTCCTTGCCAACTACAATTGTCAAAAATTTAAATGCAAAGTTTTCTCATTCTCTTTTACTCTCACTATCTCCTTGTGCCTTAGTGGCATTATCATCTTGCTTGGGTGAAATGATTAAAAAAAAAATATGAGAAAAATTAAAAGAAAGTAATAAGCAACAAAATATTTGAACCAAAGTGAAAAGATACAGAATATTAAGAACATTAGCTAATTTGAGGTTCTTTTTTTTTTTTACTATGGTGTTCATCCTGTACAAGGTTCAAGAGCCACTCAAAGTAGAGGGTTACAGAGTAAGAGGCACAGTTTATTGGGGTATGTAGGGAAGATAACAGTTAACCCATGAACAAAATTAAGATTGTAGTGATCAGAGAAACATCCTCTTGTGAGTCAGTTTCACAAAGCAGCAGTTAAATATCTATATCAAAATCTGGAGACTTGAACAAGTCCTTTTCTTATTTACATTAATTTTGAACTATTGTCCTCATCTTTGATATTGTTATGTTTTGGCTGTTCAGCCTCTGGCCTTTATCAGGTATATATCAAGCTGGTAACTGTTGTGTCTGTGAGCTTACTTATTTGTGTCAAATAAGAATGAACATGCAAAATCAAACCTTTATACATTTTTTTCACTACTGGATAAGAATAGGTCTAAACATGACCAGTGGATTACTGGTAGATTAATGCCTGACAGCCAAATATCTTTTCCTCTGTGTTGTCCTAGAGAGTTCTGATTAAGGGGCATAACTCCCCATCTATGAAGTGAGTTAGCTACCTTTTTATAACATCCATCCTAAGAATAACTTCCAGGGAATTCTGAACTGAACCTTTTATTTAAATCTACAGGATTAGACTGATTTTGTTCCACTGTCCATTCAGAATTCTCTGTAGGAAAACCAGATTTATATACACCTGATGAAGACCAGAGGACAAAACAGACCCAGTGGCAAATGGTACAGCAACCAATTTACATACATTGAATTTCATGGTCGCATCAATAAATTGTTTTTGCCTTATGAGATCTGTAGAGCTAAAAGCCCTCTGCACTTACTCAAGGACAAAATGGTTGAAATGTTGTGATAACAACAACAAAGATGAGGAAAGTAGTTCAAATGCAAACAGTGTATATGATAAATCCTCATCTCAGATATTCAAACAGAAGTCGTTTATTATCCACAAGTAAAAGTGTCAGACTTTTGCCATCAATGTATAAAACCATTGCATTTCATACATGTATGGAGATGGCACTTCCATAGGAGCAACTTTGAACTCTGAAAAATAAAATTCCAAAAGAAACTATAAATAACTGTTCACTCTATAATGAAACGAACTATACAGCAAAAGCCAGGTTCTGACTTCTAAAAAGGTTGCTTATTTTATTGGAACTATGTAAATTTTCTCTTTCTCCAAAAAAGTTAATATCAAACTTTTGTATAAATAAAAAAATGAGTAAATCATCAGATCCCATAATTTCCTTTGGAATTAACCCTGCCACTGTCTCTGTCCCTGAGTGAGTGCAGAGTGCTTTTAGCTCTTCAGATCCCATAAGGCAAAAACAATTTATTGATGTGACCATGAAATTCAATGAGTGTAAATTGGTTGCTGTACTTTTTGCCACTGGGTCTGTGCCACATGGGAAACGTCTTTGTCTAAACATTGCTGGTAAAATGGACCAATATTGAACCAGTCTTACTAATTGCATTCTAAGTTATAAGTGCAAGTGGATAGACTCTTTGATCTTGTATATGTGAGTAAAATAAAAAGTGACATGTTAAGAATTACAAAGAGAAGTAAAAGCCAACATACAGACTGAAGAAGAGAGAGAGAGAGAAAGAGAGGCAAGAGCAAATTGAGATATAGTTAAGTAGTAAGAGAAAGAAAGTCAGATGACTAGAATGAGGGGGAAGTAGTTATGGAGAATCATGTGAAAAATAAAAAAAGAGAAAGAAAGACACTGGAAAAATAGAGTAGAAATGGAACTGTATCAAGATAGAAAGTAATATCGAGAAAGAAAAAACGTGAATGTAACAGAATAGTAGAGAGTAGTAATGACCAAGGAAAGAGAGATTTATTCCAAAATATTGGGTTGGAATAAAAGTTTGTAGCATTTTTCAGTTGGTGGTCTTTAAACATAGGAATGAAATTTATGGCATACTAGACCACCCATAAACATGTTGGGGTTCTTTTAAAAGTAATTCATAATACAAAATGATGAAGTAACAATATTATCATTTTTTATTACTAACTCACCTAGAAGCCATCTTTTGGGCAGACTTTATGCTAGCTCCTGTGGAGGGATTTGAGCCTTCAGCTTTTTGCCTTCAGCATCCTATGTACATAAAAGTTATAAGAATTTAGAAATAATAAAATTATTTTATCTTTATTCAACACCTTCATTCGGCATAATCTTTCTTTGTATACACAACAAATCTCTGTAGTTTGTTTACATTTATTTTGCAGGCAATTTTTCTTTTTTTTTAAAATCACTATTTTTTATGATCCCTTCACATAAAGTCACTCTTAAAAGACATTAGGGAACCCGAACTATGTAATATTTTGAATACGACACAGTACACATACTAGAAAAAGAAAAAGAAACCATATGAGCAACATACCATGCCCACTTAAGTTTTAATTGCAGTTTAATTAATTAGATAATATAAATTGCAACTGTGATGAAAAGGAAAATTAAAGTTAAACTTTGAACAAAGAATTGTTTTTTAAACCTTTCACTTTGTTTAATATTTAAATTTAACTTTAAATGAGTCATTTAATTTTTAATTGCGTATAACTACAGTAGTTACTACCTGTTACTTAAGCTTGTTTTTGATTTGCTGAGATCAGATAATGAATGAACAGATGGATGGACAGCCATACACTGCACTTTATTTATATAGATTACACATTTAATTTGTATTTAAAGACTGTAAAAGGTTTATTTTTTTACTGGACTTCATAGTTAACACATTGTGTGAAAATTTAAAGTAACAGCTTAAAACAGCTATAGTTTTTTTTTTTAATTAATAAGGGCCTTTCAACAATAATTTTGAAGTAGAATAGATCATTGGTAGTGTTATATAGACTGACAGGTACATAATTTTATTTTAAACTAAAGTAAGGATTAGACAGAGAATAAAAATGTGTGAATTGTGGCAAGATTTACTATCATGATTTAAAACAAAGAATAGTACTAAAAAGTCAAAGAAAGAAATTTGCAGAAAATGACTAATATAGAAAAAACAATTATTGCATAGAGATTCAGGACATAAATGATCATGGCTCTCTACAAGCTTCTTTTTCTGTACATAACTGAATTTTCATGGCTTTTCTTGAGAATAGTAATGGAGTGGTTTATTGTTGATTGTTAGAATTAAGAGTGATACTGTGTGGTTCACTCACATCATAGCAGTAAAAATTAGCATTGTGTTCACAAAGATAAAAGTATACTTGACAGGAAATAAAACATAAACAAATAACAGCAAAAGCATCAATTTGCCATGTTTTACCTGTTATTTATTTTCATTTCATACAATTTATTTATATTTTTGTGTATTTTTTAGCTTATAATTTTTTTATGGTACATGTGATAAAAGGGAAAATTTACTCCATAGTATTACAAGCCATATCATAGAAAGAAGTTAGACACATGTTGCCCATACCAAGGTTCATGGTGAAGAGATGGAATTTAACATCTTTTGGTGGGATGTCCGTATTTCAGACAGGAACAGTTTTTGTTGCATGATGGGAATATTTTTGTTATTTTTAATTTTCATTTAATTTATTTTAAAAAAAAGTTTAAATATTATTTTTATTTTATTTTATTTATAATTTTCATTATTATTATTATTTTATATTTTATTTTTATTTATTTATAATAATAATATTATCCCTACAATCTTCATAAGCTGGTTACACTATCAAGGCTAAACATCTAAGTCTGCCCAAACATTTTAACCATAGCTGTAGTTAGGCAGATTCATTCATTTTTCAAGGGTTCAAAGTGATTGGTTGAAGTTTGAACTCATTCTATCATCTATTTTCCACACCACTAATTGCTATACTATATACGTATTTGAAATGGTTTAGGTTTGTTTTGTTTTGCTTTAAAGCATATGAACATTTTCCAGGTTATTCAATGCCAAGTTTTGTCATTTTTTTTTATAAAATAGATATGTGAATATCAATTTGGTTTGTATGAGAGACAAAAAGGTAGATATCAGTAGTAGTGTAAACAGATTGTCCCTATTGGGGTGGGTACCTTTTTACATGAGGATACAGCAGTTGGCATATACTTGACCCCCAACCATCAAAGTGAGAAACTATTTAGAAAATATAAAATTAAATAGGGAGATGAAAAGAAAACTAAAAGAGAAAAAAAAAGGCGGGAAAGAGGGCTGGGAGAAAAAGAAAAAGAAAAATCAAAATTGAGAGGAAGAGTGATATGAAGAGAGAAACTGGAGAGAAAAAAGAGGGTAAAGAAATGGATAGAGAGAGAAGGGAAATATAGAAATAAGAAAGAAGAGAAATGAAGAGAAAAGGAAAAAAAAGAGAAAAGAGGAGGGAAATGGAGAAAGAAGAGAGGAGGGAAAATGAAGAGAGAAGAGTGAAGGAAAATATAGGAAGAATAGAGAAAGGATATGGAGTAAGAAAGAAGGAAAATATTGAAAAAAGAGAGAAGGGAAATGGAGAGAAAAGAGAGAAAGGAAATAAAGAGAGGAAGAAAATGGGAAAGAAGACAAATGGAGAGAGAAGAGAGAAAGAAAATGTAGGAAGGTAAATAGAGAGATAAAGAGGAGGGAAATGGAGAGAGAAGGTAAATGGAGAGAAAAGAGGGAAAGGAAATAGAGAGTGGAAGAAAATGAGAATGAAAATAAATGGAGAAAGAAGGCAAATGAAAAGAGAAGAGAGAAAGAAAATGTAGGAAGAAAAGAGAAAGAAGGTAAATAGAGAGATAAAGAGGAGGGAAATGGAGAGAGAAGTGAGAAGGTAAATGGAAAGAAAAGAGAGAAAGGAAATAGAGAGTGGAAGAAAATGAGAAAGAAGGTAAAGAGAGAGAGAAGAGAGAAAGAAAATGTAGGAAGAAAAGAGAAGGAAGGTAAATAGAGAGATAAAGACGAATAAAATGGAGAGAGAAGAGGGAAGGTAAATGGAGAGAAAAGAGAGAAAAGAAATAGAGAGAGAGGAAGAAAATGAGAAAGAAGGTAAAGGGAGAGAGAAGATAAATGGAGATAGAAGAGAGAAAGAAAATGTAGGAAGAAAAGAAAAGGGAGGTAAATAGAGAGATAAAGAGGACGGAAATGAAGAGAGAAGAGAGAAGGTAAATGGAGAGAAAAGAGAGAAAGGAAATAGAGAGGAAGAAAATGAGAATGAAGAGAAATTGAGAGAGAAGAGAGAAAGGAAATGTAGGAAGAAAAGAGAAGGAAGGTAAATAGAGAGATAAAGAGGATGGAAATGAAGAGAGAAGGGAAAAGAAAATATAGGAAGAAGAGAGAAGTAAAATGGGGAGAAGGTAAATGGAAAGAGAAGAAAGACAAAAATATAGAAAGAAGAGCAAAGGAAATTGGAGTGAGAAGGTAATTATAGAGAAAAGAGAGAAGAAATATGTAGGAAGAAACAAGAAAGAGAAAGAGATTGCAAATGGAGAGAAAATAGAGAAAGAAAATTGTAAGAAGAAGTAAGAAGAGAAATGGAAATACAAGGGAGAAGGAAAAAGAAAGAAGAGCCTAAGACAACAAAGAAAAGACAAAAAAGGTTCACCAAGAATATTAAAAGAAACAAGATTTCTTTTCCTGATTGCTTCAGTATAACAGAGAAAGTTACAAAGACAAAAATTAATAAAATTGACAATCTAGCGCTACATAAAATGAAAAGAAATGGACAGAGTTTATGAGAACCAGAAAGAAAAATAATCTCAGAATATATACATATAGAAGTCATGAAGATATATACACATATTATATGAGCCATGCTTTTAAGAGAAAATATTTAGCAAAAGCTACATCTGCAGAGAATAACTCCTTTTGTAATTTTCACACTTAATATACATCCACCTCATTTTAATATTTGAACCTGATACATGACATCGCATAAACTGTTTGTTCTTTGATTGATATACAGTGAGTGCCGTCCAGTTTCCCCAAATCTGACCAAATAACCAAACATCAGAATTTCTTTTGCAGCCCCATCTTAATTAGGCTAGGAACCTTCCAGCACCTTCTCATATATTACAATTATAAATTATGATAAAGGTGGAAATATTTAAGTTACAATCATCAACTACTAAAAGGTTAAATAGTAATCAATTAAAATATACAGGAAGAGCATTTTATTCTAGGATTTCAAATTGCATTTTATTTATAAAATATTCTTGGAAGAACAGATTAGCCAAATAAGAAAATATTTACTATTATACATGGTGTCACTAAAAGATGAATACATTATTCTAACATTTTTCCCTTATAAATTTAAAATAGATATAAAAAGGTGTTTTATGCCTATTTACACTATTTACATTGTTCAGATTGTTGTCCTCATCTTTATTGCCATATTCACAACATTTCAGCCATTGTACACTCCTGCCTTCTTCAGGTGATATTAGTTAGAATTTCGAATTGAAATCTTTATTTAATCTGGTGTGTGTGTGGGCATTAATTGTTCTAATTCCAGGTGCCCTGCCTTCGGATAGCTCAGTTTCATTTAATTTTCCTAAGTAACTCAACTCTCCAAGTTTTTGTTCCTTCTGCTGTGGCCAGGTATTGAACTCACAACTTTTTGGGTAAAGTCACTTCATAAAGTCATTCAACCAATGCTTTTTTATATCTATATTATAACATTTTCTATTTAATACTACTGCTAAAATATTTCCTTTATTTTTAAAAATTAATTTATAAAAAGAAAACTAAATCTTACAGTAAAAATGAAATATAAAAGTATGACATATTGTATGTTTAATTAATGCATTATATGAGGGGTGCTGAAATGGTCTCAACAAGACCTATTTCCCTAACTTATTTTGCAATCCTTTCTTGGTCAGGCCAAGATGTTTTCAGCACCTTCTTGTACATTAAAATTATAAAATATGAAAGTGCACACACTTCTTGTATTTATGATAAAATATTTCTTTTTAGTAACAACAGGCAATAGTTTTTAATTTTTTTTTATATCATTTGGGTTTATCTAATGTATGTTTAGATATAAAGCACTTCTTTTACAGCAATTTCAGATGATATCCTACACTGAAAACAAATTTCCATCTTTTAATTTATCCTTTTCATCTTATGAAGAATAAATTTTTAATAATCCTGTTTGTTCAAGCAATATCAATATTTGGTACATGAGGGGCATAAATTTTGTTAAGCAAAAGCATTTTTCAATTAGAGAATGTAATTGATGATTTCAATGATTTAGAAAGGAGTGCCAAGTTCTTGGCCTAACCAAGAAAGGATTAAAAAAATTTTTTACAGTTCACCATGTACAAGGCCCAGGGGCCACTCAAGGTAGAGGGTTAAGTTAAGGGGTAGTTTATAGGAAGGTAAGATAATGGTTAACTCTAAACTTAAATAAGTTAAGATTGTAGTGATTGGGGAAACACCCTCTTGGGAGTCTGTTCCCCAGGGCAGTGGTTTGTGGGAAGAAGCTGTTTTAGTGGAACTTAGAGTAGGTACAGATTAGTGAATATTTAATGATCGGGGAAACATCTTCTTGGGGGTCTGTTCCATAGGGCAGCAGTTTGAGGAAAGACGCTGTTTGAGTGGAACTTACAATAAGTACAGAACATCTAATGATCAGAGAAACATCTTCTTGGGTAACAGTTTGCAGGCAGAGGCTGTTTAATTAGAACTTAGAGTAGGTACAGATAAGTGAACATTTAGTGATTGGGGAAACATCCTTTTGGGAGTCTGTTCCACAGGTTTGCCTGAAGAAGCTGTTTGAGTGAAACTTCTCGCTGATGGAATACAGAGAGAATGTGGGTGGTTTGCTGCTATGTAAGTGGCACGATGGGTCCTAGCCATGAAAGTTAGACTTGGTGGAACCAAGAAATATAGTTCATCCAAGCACTTTCCATGGAAGTAGTGAGAGAGCAGTGAGAGGGTCACCACATCACACCTGTGAGAGAGAGGTTGGAGTGTACCAAACCATGTTTTTTTTTTCAGTATTTCCTCATATTGAGGCATAAAACACTTTATATCTATATTGTAACATTTGTTCTTAATTATAATTATTACTAATTATTTCCTTTATTATTTAAAATTGATTTATGAATAGAAACATAAATTTTACAGAAAAAATGACATATAAGTATTATATATTTCATGTTTAATTAATGAAGGGTGCTGAAACAGAGTTGACAAAATATACTTCCTCAAATCTGACCAAACATCAGAAAGGATTAAAAACATTACTGTCTGTTCAGATTTAGGAATGTAGACCAAGCCAAAATATTTTATTTACAAATAACAATTTGACAAAATTGTGTCTGAGATAAATATGTGTATGAAACCGAGGTGTCTTATTAAATTTCTCTATGCAAAAAAAAAAAAAAAAAATTGCAGCCATTGATACTTGCTGAACGTTTACATGGATCAAATAGTGGATCTGAGGACAGTTATGTAGTGGGTAATTTGTGTCAGCAGGGGCAAGAAGCATGTTGCATTACAGGTGGTCCTGCACAGCTATCAACCCCATGAAATGAAGAGCATAACCAATGGTGGCAACTCTATGGGAAAATAATGTTTCATAGTTGAAAACTTTTTGTTTTATGACAATGATCACTCTGTACAAGGTCCAAGAAGCACACAAGGTAGAGGGTTACAGAGTAAGAGGTAAGGGGCACATATTACGGGGATATATAGTGATTCAAACAGGTTAAAATTGCAGCAATCAGGGAAAAATCCTTTTGGAAGTTGGTTCCATAGATTAGTGTTTCGTGGGAAGAAACTCTTCAAGTGGAATTTACATTTCAACAATGGAATATGAAGGGAATGAGGGTGATTCTCTACAATGTGCATGGTATGGCAGGTATTAGCTCTGATGGTTAGAACTGGTGAAGCTAAGGAATGTAGCTCATTTGAACTCTTTACATGGAAATAGTAATAGGGCAGTCTGTGAGAAAAGCTGTTGTAGGGTGGAAAATAATTCATCACCCACAAGGCCGCATAGATGCTTTTGGACTCTGTCAAAAATGGAACGTGAAGACTGGGCAGCTCCTGTTCACATATGGCAGCCTGATCTATTATCAACCTGATCAGTCTCTTTTAAAGGGAGAGGATAGCAGGAGGAGACAGATACTAGAGAGGGTGTTACTGTTCTCCCTGTATCTGTTGTCACTTATGTGGAAATAAATAGAAGGCATTACTATTGGAGGGAAAATGTATAGCCAGTAGAGATGACTATGTGGAAAAATAATGTTTTATGACTGAAAACTTGCTCTATCCAATGGTGTTATTGTGCTCCCTAAATTTATTGTAGTTTCTGGATTAAGAAATAGGAAGTTTTCTTACATTTCCGCGTCAATTTTGTATTAATTTTTCATAATGTAAAGTTGTTTATAACAATGAATTAGTTTCATTTTCTGTATATATTGCTTAATGTTATCAGATGGTAATTGTTATCTTATAACCAATGTCCCAAAGTGATCATAATGTTATCAGGTGGTTATTGTTATCTTATAACCCATGTCCCAAAGTGATCATAATGTTATCAGGTGGTTATTGTTATCTTATAACCCATGTCCCAAAGTTCCAAAGTATGTCCCAAATCATAATGTTATCAGAGGTGGTTATTATTATCTTATAACCCATGTCCCAAAGTGATCATAATGTTATCAGATGGTTATTGTTATCTTATAACCCATGTCCCAAAGTGATCATAATGTTAACAGATGGTTATTGTTATAACCCATGTCCCAAAGTGATCATAATGTTAACAGATGGTTATTGTTATCTTATAACCCATGTCCCAAAGTGATCATAATGTTATCAGATGGTTATTGTTATCTTATAACCCATGTCCCAGAGTGATCATAATAGATTGCTTACTCAATATTACAGTAAAGTTTACCCTTTACAAGGCACCTTGAGGTAGAGGGTTACATGAGGACAACATTTGGGCATATAGGAGTAGAAAATAACAGTTAATATTAGCCTTTAAGAGGGTTTTGTAGTAATCAGGGAAATATCCCATTGGGATTCTTTTCCATAGTGCATTTGTTTGCAGGAAGAAGCTGTCCGAGTGGAACTTACTTTTCACTGATGAAATCTTAGTGGTTTGCTACTATGTAAATGGCATGTTCTTGCCGCAATGGTTTGACTTGGTGGGACCAGGGAATGTAGTTTGTCTGAACACTTTCCATGGAAGTAGTGGCAGAGCAGCAAAAGACTTACCACATACCACCTGTGGAGGAGATGTTGAAGCATGGCAAATAATTCATCACCCGCAAGGGCTTGGAGATGCTTCTGGACTCTGTCAGGGTAGGAAGTGAAGTCTAGGTTGCATCCACCAAATTATGACAACAGTACACCATTTTTGGCCTGACCTGGCACTCATAGAGTTACAGGAGAGCAGGAAGTGTCAGGTATTTACTGGAGCAGTACAGAGATCTGACAATTTTACCTGTATCCTTAGCAGTGGATCGAACTTGATGAGTTCTAATGTTTTAACAAGTTCATTTATGACTACAGGACGAATACTGTGGTATTTGTTGTGCCAGTATGGTTCTTGACAATGATTTATCAGAAACATGGACATGAAATGACTGTAGCAATCATATAAGGTATAATCAGATATTTTGTTTTTATTTGCTTTAGAGTGTGTCCATTGATATTCAGTGTTACAAAAATATTCATTTATAAGGCAGATATTGGTAGTAGTTTGAAGAAAGTCTGGTAGTGGTAGTTTTGAAATCAGACCATGCTAAGGGTAGAAGTAATATTAAAAATAAGTCAGTGTCAATCTACTGTGTTTTTCTCAGCCCTAAGCAGGGTAGAAATCTGATTAGCATATGACCCCTTAACTAATTCTTCATGCATCACACATGGCTGGTTCCTCTGGAAGCCATATTTCTTGTCCTCACTCTTGCCGTCCCTTCTCCCTTCTAGCTCAGAAGTGTGAGTTTATATGCTTTTGACCAGGCTCCAAGACTTTGGCATGAACCTTGGTTTCAGCTAACATCAAAAGTCTCTTTGAGTTAATTTTTTTGATTGGTCAAAATTATTTTATTTTCTGCATTCCTTTCTTTTTTTTTTTTTTTTTTTTTATAATGGAAGTTATGCATGGAGCCTCCCTGATTTTTGTTAGTTTTCAGTCACAGATTTGTAGGCTCTGGTCCCATAAACTTCTGACATTTTTCAGCCAGATTCAGTTTTTTTCTTCTTCTTCCTCTTTTTATTTGAGTGTTGCCTTCTCATTAGTTCAGAGAGAAGTACAGAAAGAGAAGTTTAGAGAGAGAGAGAGAGAGAGAGAGAGAGAGAAAGAGTTTTAAAGGAAAAGAGAGATAAGGGTTTTAAAAGAAAGTGCTCATGCCTTATTTTAATTTTAATTCTTTTTAATTTTTTTGTTTATATATCTTATTTTTATATTTTATTTGTTTTTTATCAGGACTCACTACAATACTTTTTGTAAATTAGACATTTATTGTTTCAAGAACAGATGTTGGAACTTTCTAAATGTTTTTAGGCAGAAGCTAAGAATTTTGCTTTTTCTCCAATTTTTATTCCAAAATTGTTTGAATGCTTACTTACGAAATGTATATTTGTTGCTAAGATTTTTTATAAAGCTGGTGAAAATAAGCTGTCCTCCAGATTTTCTGAGTGGACAATTTTTTATATTGTTTTTGTTTTTAAGTACTTTAAATTTAAATAACTTCAAATTTTCAATTAGATTCAAAATTTTAATTTTGATTTTTCTCGTATTATCACTGGAAGGCATTCAGTAAATTCAACTTCCTTTAAGATGTTATGCCGAAGAAATTTATTATTACTGATCTTTTTCTTTCTTTTTTATCAATGAGAGAATTTATAAATTGTTAAATTGTATTGAGTAGGATTATTGTTATTATTATTATTATTATTATTATTACTATTATTATTATTATTTAATTAGACGAGAAAGGAGAAGAGATTAACAAGAGAAAGAAAAAGAGAATTGAAAAGAGATAAAAAGAATTTATTAAAATATTTTAAGTTATGTTTCTAGGAAGCAATTTTTGAAAATAAAGTTAGAATAAAAGAATTATTTGGGTTTCTACAGAAGCAGTATGACTAATATCTAGAAATCATCATCTTGGCGCCACAAATGAAGCTCAAGAAGATGTTTTCTGCATCTGTGCAGACCCTCCAGTCACCAGCAAAACACAGGTATTTTCACTACTGGCTGCAGGAGAAACTATGGCAGCTGGTGGGGAGCTCTGGATAGACAGAAACAAAAAGCAAATAAAAAATAAAAATAGAATTTTCAACTTTATAGGAAAGACAACAAGTATGCTTTTCATTCTTCATTAAAAACATGTACAAGAATCTATACTGGAAGCAAACTGCCTGCATATGGAAAGAAAATGAGTTCAACAGATATGCAAAAATAAGACAAAGATGTGTCTTCTCACCATATTCATTCAACTTTAACAGCAAAGCAATTCTGAGAGAATTAGAAGTACTACCAAGATTCATTATTATTCATTAGCCACAATCTTAACAATATAAGGCATGCAGATGACACAGAAAGGAAACTACACAACTTCCTACAGAATGTAGTGAAGGAAAGCAAGAAAACAGAACTAAGCATAAACTACAAGACAGAATGCATGGCTATCAACAAAGGGTTGAGCCTAAATGCAAATTACAGGTCGGGTTACTAAAATCAAGCAGGTACAGAAACTTAAATATCTGAGAAGTGCTCTAACAGAGGACACAAATTGCAACATTGAGATCTGAAGACATTGTGATGGCCAAAGATGCATTCCAAAAGATAAGCAGAGTATTAAGAGATAGAAAAATTTTGCTAGAAATGACTAAAGAAAGAAAAAAGTACAGTATTTACATTAGTCGGACTATTGTCCCCATATTTGTCTCCATATTTGTCACAACATTTTGGCCGTTGTACACTCCAGCCTTCTTCAGGCGGTTGAAATTTCGAACTGAACCCTTTATTTCGATCACTGGAGTAGACTGTTCCATGTGCCACGTTTGATGGATCAGTTATCTCCTGCTAGTTTTCCCTCTGAAAGTTCTCCACTGCCTTAACCAGGTATTGAACTCACCTTCTTTATCCACTGAGCCATGTGTCCTTGAGGACATCTGGGTATGAACTTCTGAGTATTATAAACCTAATGTTTTCAGCAACTATTTTTTACCAGTGCTCATATTGCAATTTTTTTGCTGTTATCATTGCATGTCTTTACCAGAGTTCATATTGCAACTTTGGTTATCATTGCTTTTCTCTGGCACTCCTTATTACTGGTTCCCATATTGTATTTATTTCTATGCTTGGTCGGCTCAGGAGATTTTTTGTGGCCCTAGCATATGTGCTGATTCTTAAGTTTACGAATTTTCCAATGGTGTTCCTGTCTATGATCTCAACATGATCCCACAGGGGACGGTGATCTCCTTCTCTCTCCATATGTGGTCAGCCACGCCTGATTTTTCTACTTCCCCTCAAGTTACAGCTTTCTGGTGTTCTTGGAGCCTTACCTTGAGGGGGCGACCTGTCTCTTCTTTATATTCCTTTCCGCAGCTGCACGGGATAGCGTACATACAGTCTTTAGTCATGTTCTCCTCTGTGAGGGGTCTCACTCGAGAGAGATATCTGCGAAGTGTTGTCACACTTTTGAAGGTTGTCCTGATATTATATGGACCACAGATCCTTTGTATTTTCTCTGATAACCCCTTTACATAAGGCAGGCAGACTGTTTTCTGAGTGTTGTTGTCCTCCTCCTCCTCTTGTACCTGCCTATCCCAGTTTTTGGGGGCTGCTGCCATGTACCCAGGGTAGTTGTTACGTTGTAGGGTACTACTTATACTGACCAATTCCTTATCTAATGTCTCTGGGTCACCACTTATGACGTTTGCTCGGTGTTGTAAGCATTGGACGATCCCTTTCTTTACACTGTATGGATGGTGGGAGTTGAAATTGAGGTACTGTCTGGTGAATGTTGGTTTACGGTATACAGATGTCTTGAACCCATGCCCTGTTCGAGATATTAGTACATCCAGGAATGGGAGTGTGTTGTTACTCTCTTTCTCCATTGTGAACTGTATCGAAGGTCTTATTGAGTTCACATGGTCCAGTAGAACCTGGACATCTTCCTGGTGTGGCCAGAGTATGTGGCCAGAGTACCATAACCATATAGTTGGTTTTAGAGATATAGATTCTAATGCCATTTCTTCAAAGTATTCCATGTATATATTCGCCATTGCTGGTGATAATGGCGAGCCCATTGCTAAGCCCTCATCCTGTCAATATATGTGTGATCCCATTCCGAAGTGTGTTGTTTGTGTACAGAAAGTCAACATCTCCATCAGATTATCTATTGGAATGCTGGTCCGCTCCTCTAGGGAAGAGTCAGAGGTCAATCTGTCTCTGACTACTCAGAGTGCCTCCTCCGTGGGTACCTTGGTGAACAGACTCACCACGTCCAAGCTCACCATCTGGTTGGATAGGATGGGAGCATCTTTGATTATTTCCACAAAGTGGGTGGGGTTTCGGACATATGAAGGAGACTTTCCGATCAATGGGTCAATTATATCTACAAGGAAGCGACTCAGAGGGTGGCACACAGAGCCTTGTCAACGAAAAGAGTACTGAACTGTTATGTGATATCTTACCTTCTGCATGGCTGTGAAAGCTGGGCAATCTCCTCAAAGATGAAGAAGAGACTTGAAACAACAGAAATGTAGTTCTACAGAAGGATGCTAATGAGCGGAACATGTGAGCAACAATGAGGTTTTAGAGAGAATAGAAACAAACAGGAAACTTATACTTAACATCGGGAAGAGGCAGTTGAAATTTCTGCGGCATGTAATCAAGAAGGAGGGCTTGGAAAATGTGATACTCACAGGACAAAGAGAGGAAAAGAGGGGCAGAGTAAAGCAGTGCATATCATACATGACGGGCTGGAGCAAGTGGATTGCAGAACAGGGTTTGGGAGATATAACTAAAAGACAAAACTTATTAAGAGCTACAAGGGACAGGAAGATGTGGAGGGCCATGATCACCTACGTCCTGAAAGTATATGGCACATAAAAAAAGAAGACTATTTAGTTGGACAAAACCTATACAAACATTTGATGACAGTCTCCAAAATTCAAAAGGGTTACTGCTACAAGTCTGTTTATTATTGATATACGACCTTCTGTCTTTGTAAACTGTTGTCAACCGCTACCCTCTTTCTCCAAGTAGCTGGGATCTCCTATAACTGCAACCTGTCTCTTTTCATTCTGAGGCCCTTTAACGACTGGTGAGTGTATTTTTGATGGCTTTCTTTGACGTGACCTTACTCAGCCAATCTCAGCATGTCAAGCTGTTTTCATGTGATAGACACTGCAAGAAGAAAGGAATTGGCCATAGGTCATATCCCTTCCCAGTTTCCCCATGACAGTTCTTTGATTCTCAGTCTGAAAATAATAGCCTTTTTACCAGACCATTTCCTGTAACCTTGGAAAGAAAAGCAAAACAAGATGGCTTCCATAGATGAGGAAAAAAAACAAAAAAAAAACAAAACAAAACAAAGATAAAATGAATGAGAAATTAAAATAAAGATATAAGAGGAAAAAAAAGAAAATTAATTAAAAAAAAATAAAGAACAAAGAAAATAAAAAAGATAAAAAAAAAAAAAGAATTTACACTGTTTACAGGAAACATGGCCCAGTGGATAAAAGTGTTGGTAATCCAGTGATTTGACCCAAAGAGTTGTGAGTTCAATACCTGAGCAGAGGCAAACAAATAACATGGAGAGTTGAGTTAAAGGGAAATAACTAAAACTGAAATTTCCAGAATAGATGTGGAACTAGATATAAAGGTGGATGAAATAAAGGGTTTGGTTTGAAATTCCAATCATCTGAAGAATGCCAGAGTGTATAATAGCCAAAACGTTGTGAATATGACAACAAAATTGAGGACAATAATTTGAACAAATAAATAAATTACTGTAAATAATTAAAATACCATGTCTCAGAAATATAGTCATAAGAAAAAAGACAAAACTTATTAAGGGCTACAGGGTAGAGGAAGATATGGAGGACATATAAAAAAAAAAAAGAAAGCACTTTAGCTTTTGGCGATGCACTCAATTTGACAGTAAGCACTTGACAGACTGTCAAATGCTGTACGAAAATGGAACTACTGATTAGGCGATTACCAATGCTAATTGCATTGATTGGTTAAGCACATTGCATATTTGAAATCCATATTATTGTTATAAATAATACATACAAATTAACAAAAATTTGCATTTATATTTCAGTCTATTTATGTATGACATGTGTATGCCATATATATGCATATCATCTTTTTTGTGCCTTGTCTCTTCAGGATATAGGTGATCAATGCCTCCACAATTTCCTGCCCTTTCCTTCATATATATATATATATATATATATATATATATGTGTGTGTGTGTGTGCGTGTGTGTGTATTATAATTATTTTTTTTAAAAATATGATTCCATGACAACACAGAAATTACTGCACTTTCCTTCATATATATATATATATATATATATATATATATAACAAGTACCTATTATCCAAATTCATACCAAACGGATAAAACAGACAAACCAGCAACAATCACAATTTAATTTCAAGATACCATCAAAATAATTGCATCTAACATTATTATAATTGCACCACCATTAGTAATCACTTTTACTACAATACATTTTAACTATCAATATTATCATTACCACCTACACACAGCACCATCACTTACACATCACACCCACTATTAACATATAAATCCACTACAATCTTTATCACTCCCCCAGCATATTTAATACCTTAAAACAATATGATCAGGTATAATTTCCATATGTAACCATGAGAATAAACACCTATTAACAGGCAGCTTTAATATAATAACAATAATAATTTTGTAATTAAAAATTAAAAATTATAGCAATCTCCAACTACAATAATTTTACACAGAATACCTATTATCAGGATTTATACCAAAATAAATTAATACATATAACAAAATAAAACAAAAATAAAATAAAACACCAACAACCACTTTTTAGTTCAAGCTACCATCACTATAACTACATTCAGGGTTTTATCATTCTCCCACCACCGTCACTAATCATTTCTACCAATTTACAATTTCTACCAATTTACAATAACTATTAGCTAACTATCATTGTCTCCAATCCCTTGAAACATTACTATCACATCATATCATATAGACCTATTAATAAGATGAAATACCCTCTCACCCAGCACATTGAATATTAAACTAAACATCACCATATAAATTAACCAATAAGGATTACAAATTTCTACCTGTTACATATACACAGTCACCAAAAACAAACAAATAACCAGCTTTAAATATAACAAATAAACCCCCATTTTTTTTCAAAAATTTAAAAATAAATATAAATAATAATAGTTTTTACCTATCATAATTTGACACAAACCCCACCACACACATATACATACATGCGAGGAAATATTTTTCAGCGGGAAAATACATAATATGACATGTATACAGTAACGAGACATTTCCGCCACACTTCCAATGTTTAAATTTCAACATTTCAACATACAAATGCGTATGTATAGATATAACACCACCTGTATACATACATGTGTCATAGCCGAAACTGCCCACATATGTTTATATATGTATGAGTCCCGACGGATGACCAAGTATGTATATGTGTCTGCATACATCGATGTTTGTGTTAGTACGATGACAAAATGATGAAATTTCCCCCACCACTTCCACAATAACACCAATACACGCAATCTACATAAACCCAAATTTTTTAAAACATTAATCAGTTTGTCTGACGATTGCTAAAGCGTGAAACCCAGGGTCACAAACTCACATCTATCCAACCAAATATATATACATATATATGTATGTATGTATGTATGTATGTGTGTGTGTGTGTGTATTATAATTATTTTTTTAAATATGATTCCATGGCAACACAGAAATTGCTGCACTTTCCTTTATATATATATATATATATATATATATATATATATATTAGAGGAATCTAAATGGAATAATAATAATAAAAAACGAAAGAATATTAATCTACAACCCAGTGTGTCTAATGATTTTAATTTTTAATTTTTATTTTTTTATTGTTCAAAATATATATATATATATGTATATATGTGTGTGTGTGTGTGTGTGTGTGTATTATAATTATTTTTTTTTTTAAATATGATTCCATGGCAACACAGAAATTACTGCACTTTCCTTCATATATATATATATATATATATATATATGTATATATGTATGTATGTATGTATGTGTGTGTGTGTGTGTATTATAATTATTTTTTAAAAAATATGATTCCATGGCAACACAGAAATTACTGTTTCAAAACTTGACTCAAGACCTAAAGTTTAATTTCATATTAAACTTAAAATTTTGAGTATGGTTTCATTCTCAGATGATGTTTAGATCCTAAACATCACTTGGAAGAGAAACTATATATACAGGGTGCGATGGATAAATTGTCATTTAAATTATGCAAAAATGAAAATAACACTGACATTTCATTTTAACAGATATATTTACCAAAAATATCTTGAAATATTAAAGAGTAGATTTATTCAATATAATTGCCATTAGCTTCAACCATGGCCTCCAGACACCTTCAGAATCTTCAGCACCTCTTCTGGATGGTCTCTCTATTTAATTTGGTGAATGCTGCCATAATCTTTTCCTTCAGTTCATCTTTGGTCTTACAAGGAGTTTTGTTGGTATCTCACTAAACTGTGTCCTATATATAATAGTCTGGGGAGTTAGGTGGTGTAAGGGTTGATGTGGTTGCAGAAATTGTCTGACAGCCATGACTGGGTTCTCCTGCTTGTGTGGCATGGTGCAGAGTCCTGTTTCCAGAAATAGGGCCTTCCAAGCAGCTATCCTCTTAAACCAGGGCAGCACTACCTCGTCAGAGTACTTGACATAGGCATCTGTGTTGAGTCTGAGGTCCTCACCAACAAATTTGCAAGTTCTTTTCTCATTAGAACAAGTGAATTTTCCAAGTTGCAGTACCTTTGTATTCACCATTCAGACTCATCCAATTCTTTTCTGAATCCTCTGCACTGTCCCCAGATTGATACCCAGACACTCTGAAATATTCAGATTGGAGCTTTTGATGCAAATATTAAGCAGTACAGCATACTCTTTCCAAATTTCTTTTTTTCACAGATGGTGCCCAACTGACCCTACTATACTGTGCAGTCTACAAAATCAAAAACAAATAACGTGCATGTGCCAAATTAAAAATATAAAATGGCGACAATTTACTACCTATTGCGCTATATATATATATATATATATATATATATACTAGCAGCATGGCCCAGCATTGATTCAAAAATTGTACGACTCATACAGCAATCACTATCACTTGACTTAAAATATTTTTGCCCTTCCTTGCCTTTAAAGGAGTGCCCTTTGCCGCGATGATGTTGCTACATGCCTTACATCTTGCCTATCTTTTTTCTAAGCTCTATACTAAACATTAAATCTGTTACAAAAAAAGAACTAAACAAAATGAACACAAAACAATCAGCTTTAAAAAAGGACTCATAACTGGAAAAACGAATGAAAAAAGAATGTTAACAACTAATACTTTTTCACACCCAACCCAGTTCTGCGGAATCAGAATCAACATTGAGTTTAAGCAAGTGAATGAGCCAATTGGAGTAAAGTGCCATGCAGATTTAAATTTTTCCCACTTGTGACAAATGCAGCTATCAATTCTTTTTGCATGCTAGCATGTTAGTTAACATTCGTGACAGTCAGCTGTTGGCTCTCACGCTGGCCAATAGAATCTTCCTGCCTATTTGTGGCAGCCAGCTATAGGCTCTCACTTTGGCCAGTAGAAAATGGCTGCAAACTACATGAAAACTGCTGTAGAAGCATGAAAAAATCAATTATTTCTATTATTGATGGGAGTTGGGAAATGCAAAGTCAGTCTTGGCCTTTCCACTAACTTGGAGCATGTGCATGTAAATTTTGGTGCAAATCCATCAAAAATTGCGGCCATGCATTCGTTACACACACACATCCTGCCTTTTATCGATAGGGATATAAAATTGTGTATTTAGACAGCAATCCCTTTTATACAAATTTCATTAAAAACTACTGACAAGATATTGTTGTTAAGTTTAATTTTTCTCAGGTTCACATAATTTTCTTTGTTCTTGGATTTAAATTATGTAGAAATTGGCAACATGTATATCTGAGCACTTTCGGATATACTTTTTAGTTATTATCAAGGATAACTTTATTTTTACTTTTAACAGAATGTATTGTTTGTTTTATACATGTATCTAGAGTTATATGACATAGAGTGCTCAGCCGTACAAAACATTTGGACAATTTCTTCATAATTTACGTGCAGAAAAGAAGAAAATTATTATAACGCAAGAAAACTAAACCACAATATCTTGGCATTTTTTTTTAATAAAACTCTGATTAGGAGGATTTGAGGGGCATGGAATCACCTCTTAATTGTTAGTGTTCCCAGGTTCATCATGACCTGAGATGGGTAGCACCTGTGAGGGTCCCAGCTGTAGGCAAATAGTTAACCCCTAAACAGGGGTCAAAACACTATGAATATGTAAAAATATGTTTTAATACCAGGAATACATTTTTGAAGAAAATATTATTACCAACAATACATTTCAGGGAAAAGAAAAAAAATATTACCAGTAAAAATCTTGTCGGTATTAAATAACCCATTGAGGTTGATATGCCATAAAATAAACCAAATCAAAGAAAGCAAACTGATGTGCATCAGTTGCCTGTTTCTGGTTCTACTAAAAAGTGTGGTTGCTTCTGCACAAGACTTCATCAATATAATCAAATCATGTATGCAGATAGCTTGACTGTCAAGTTCTGAGAACCGAGTTACTGGACCCTCATATCTAGAAGATGTTTATTTGTTTGATTTTTTTGTTTAATGGTGCATCAACTCCTTATGGGTCATATGGGTCTGGAGCCTCTTCTGTTTGCGTCGGGGTTCTTGATAAGACCCAGAAACGGATATGCAATATAATTGGCCCTGATCTGGCATCTCGTCTGCAGTCGCTCTCTCTCACAGACATGCCTTCACCTCTCTCTGTCTCTTTTACAAATACTTTCATGGTAATTGCTCCGATGAGCTGCTTTCGCTGGTTCTCAGACTTTGAGAATTCAAGCGCCCTATGAGGCTAGCATCCCACTCTCACCCTTTCACTGTTGAAACTGTTAAATGTAGCCACCTCTTCTACTCCAATAGCTTCATATCTCGCACCTCTCGCCTGTGGAACTCCCTTCCCTATTCCTGTTTCCCTGGTAGCTATAGTCTCCAACTATTCAAATGTAATGTCAATCAACATCTCCAGTTGCCTTGATCTATCCACTATCCTTCTCCTCATCCTTTCCTCTATCATTCCTATCTGCTCTCACTCCAAATTCTCTATAACCCCTTGCATGCTAGTGGCTTCCCACCTTGTTCGGGGTGAAATGCTTAAAAAAAAAAAAAAAAAAATTAATCCTGAAATTTAATTCTCTTGCGAGCTTTGAAGTAATAAAAATATAAGTTATTCTGCTTTCACAATGGAATACATGGTAGATGATACTCAGCTTGTGTGTATATATATGTTTGAGAGGAAACTGCTACTAGAGGCAGTGATATGTATGTTTTATGTTGTGGTTGAAATTTGGAATAGTTTGATTTCTTTAAGAAATTTAAGTTATTGGGATTAATGTCATGAAAGAATTCTTTCATGTTGGTTGTGTGGTTGCTTGATTTTTTTAGCAGCATATCAACCTTGATGGATTATTTAATGCTGAAATCTAAACATTTTGAACATAATTGTATGCCTTCAATTACAGATAAAATGTATTGTTGGTCATTTTACTATAAAATGTATTGTTAGTAATTCTATTCTAAAATGTATTGCTGGCCATTTTGCTATAAATAGGTATTGTTCGTCATTTTACTATAAAAATGTGTTTTTATAATTTCATAGTGTTCAGTTTTTGCTTGTGGGTTCTCTATTTACCTATAGCTAGAACCCAAACAGGTACTACCACCCTGGGTCACAGTGGACCTAAGAACAACAGAAATTAATAGCCGGTTTCAGGCTTGTCTAAACCTCCAATCTCCTGATGAGAGGACTTACTGACAGATGTAGTTTATCATCATACCCAGCATGATATTGGAGATGACAAGAGAGTGTACTATATATTATTCATATCTTTGGTTTATAGGACACAAGCAGATTTTGGCATCAAATTTTAGGGTAAAAACGTGTCATATTCCCCAAAATATGGCATCTCCCCTCAGTAAATTGTTATTCTCATTTAAATAATTTTAAGAGCAAATCCAGAAAGTTCTGTCAAGAATTGTATTGCTCTTCTTTTCAGTATTTCTTTCTTCTGATTTCTTTCTTGGATTCAGGCTATTACCAAATCCTTTTTGCTATTTAAGTAAAGTATTATTGTTTTGTTATTTTCAGTATTTCTTTCTTCTGAATTCTTTCTTGGATTCAGGCTATTACCAAATCCTTTTTGCTATTTAAGTAAAGTATTATTGTTTTGTTATTTTCAGTATTTCTTTCTTCTGATTTCTTTCTTGATTCAGGCTATTACCAAATCCTTTTTTGCTATTTAAGTAAAGTATTATTGTTTTGTTATTTTCAGTATTTCTTTCTTCTGATTTCTTTCTTGGATTCAGGCTATTACCAAATCCTTTTTGCTATTTAAGTAAAGTATTATTGTTTTGTTATTTTCAGTATTTCTTTCTTCTGATTTCTTTCTTGGATTCAGGCTATTACCAAATCCTTTTTGCTATTTAAGTAAAGTATTATTGTTTTGTTATTTTCAGTATTTCTTTCTTCTGATTTCTTTCTTGGATTCAGGCTATTACCAAATCCTTTTTGCTATTTAAGTAAAGTATTATTGTTTTGTTATTTTCAGTATTTCTTTCTTCTGATTTCTTTTTCTTGGATTCAGGCTATTACCAAATCCTTTTGCTATTTAAGTAAAAAGTATTATTGTTTTGTTATTTTCAGTATTTCTTTCTTCTGATTTCTTTCTTGGATTCAGGCTATTACCAAATCCTTTTTGCTATTTAAGTAAAGTATTATTGTTTTGTTATTTTCAGTATTTCTTTCTTCTGATTTCTTTCTTGGATTCAGGCTATTACCAAATCCTTTTTGCTATTTAAGTAAAGTATTATTGTTTTGTTATTTTCAGTATTTCTTTCTTCTGATTTCTTTCTTGGATTCAGGCTATTACCAAATCCTTTTTTGCTATTTAAGTAAAGTATTATTGTTTTGTTATTTTCAGTATTTCTTTCTTCTGATTTCTTTCTTGGATTCAGGCTATTACCAAATCCTTTTTGCTATTTAAGTAAAGTATTATTGTTTTGTTATTTTTTTTGTTATTTAAATGTTGCAAGAAATATCCTTAAAAAAAAAGGCTTCTTCGTGGAGTATTTATGAGCAGAGAAAAATCAGCAAACCATTAGTGCAGATGTATTGGTCGCAGGCTGTGAGACTGACAGTAAGAATCTTAATCTTTTGTTTTCTATTGTTTTGCAAAGGAAATAAGCAGCAAATGAAAGATAAAAAAAAAGAATACGAAAAATGATGAAGAAAAAAACAGAAATAAAAACAAAAAATAAATAAAATAAAAGCAAAAACAAAAAAAGAAATTCTTCCTTCCAAGAAGCTTTTGTCTGTAATGTTTGTCATTTTTTTTTACTATAGTCCACTCAAGAAAAGGCCCAAGGGCCACTCAGAGTCAAAGGTTACTGAATGAGATGTGTGATATCAAGGTAAGAATAGGAAGTAGTCTGATTATTAACATATTGTGGATAAATAATGATTGTTACTAGACTTGAAGAGTTTAAGATTCTTATGTTCAAGGAAGTCTGTTCCACAGATTAGAAGTTCTTGGGAAGAAGCTTCTTTGAGTGGAATGCTCTTGCTATCCAAGTCTTATTTCCCTTGTTCTTATTATGACAATGGAATCTAAAATATTCATGAAACCAGGAGGTAAATTGACAAATTTCATTAAAAAAAAATGAAGAATTACATTATATAACTATAATTTAAATGGGGTGTTTAAAAATCCCACAGTAATAATTCTGTGATAATACCCCACAATACTAATGAAGGATTAAAGACATTACTTCTTTTTTTCCCTTTTTTCTCTTTCACTTTCTCTCTCTCTCTCTATTTTAATCTGTTCATATCTATCTATCTATCTATCTCTCACAGTCTGTTCATATCTATCTATCACAGTCTGCTCATATCTATCTATCTCAGTCTGCTCATATCTATCTATCTATCTATCTATTTCTCACAGTCTGTTCATATCTATCTATCTATTTATCTATCTATCACAGTCTGTTCATATCTATCTATCTATCTATCTATCTATCACAGTCTGTTCATATCTATCTATCTATCTATCTATCTCAGTCTGTTCATATCTATCTATCTATCTATCTATCACAGTCTGTTCATATCTATCTATCTATCTATCTATCACAGTCTGTTCATATCTATCTATCTATCTATCTATCACAGTCTGTTCATATCTATCTATCTATCTATCTATCACAGTCTGTTCATATCTATCTATCTATCTATCTATCTATCTATCTATCTATCTATCACAGTCTGTTCATATCTATCTATCTATCTATCTATTTCTCACAGTCTGTTCATATCTATCTATCTATCTATCTATCACAGTCTGTTCATATCTATCTATCTATCTATCTATCTATCTATCTATCTATCACAGTCTGTTGTTCAGAATCTATCTATCTATCTATCTATTTCTCACAGTCTGTTCATATCTATCTATCTATTTCTCACAGTCTGTTCATATCTATCTATCTATCTATCTCTCACAGTCTGTTCATTATCTATCTATCTATCTATCTATCTATCTCTCACAGTCTGTTCATTATCTATCTATCTATCTATCTATCTATCTCTCACAGTCTGTTCATATCTATCTATCTATCTATCTCTCACAGTCTGTTCATATCTATCTATCTATCTATCTATCTATCTATCTATCTATCTATCTATCTCTCACAGTCTGTCGCTTCTCTCCTTGCTTTCTTTTCTCTATTTTTCAGCATTTTTTCTAATTCTTGCAGTTCACTTTGCTTTTTCTTTTGCTCTTTCTCTTCTCTATTGTCTTCTTTTTTTTATCTTCTCTCTTTTTTGTTCTCGGCCTCATCTTTCTCTTATTCTCTCTCTCTCTCTCTCTCTCTCTCTCTCTCTCTCTTCCTTCCATTTTTCTCTTTTTTTATCTCCCTCTTCTCTCTCATTTTCTTTCTTCTTCTCCATTCTTCTCACTAATCTCTCTCTCACAGAGATGAGTACATTCAAAATGTTGTTCATAAGATCGCTGCTTTTTAATTTGATAAACCAACTCTACACAATATGTAAAAACATTTTAACAACTGTAATGTCTTCATAGATATACCATCATTTTTTTTTATACCATTGATCAATTGCTATTAACAAAAGATTCTAGTGAGCATAAAGTCAGAAGTAGGTCTTCTAGTGTTATTAAATAATAAACCTATCCATCCAGAATTACTAATTATTAATGTAATAATTTGAAAAAAGCTAAATACTTGTGTGCCAAATAGAATTACCATCTGGAATAGTTAGGTGGCGGGAATTTATTTTTTTGCTCATAAAACGAACAGAGACTTTTTGGTTCCTTGAACAAAATAATTGTGATGCAGAGAAAATTATTTAAAAATAATAAGTCTACTGAATCTAACAACAACCATACTGTGTGGGGGGGGGATGGTGGTTGTGGTGGTGGTGGTGGGAGAATGGAAAGTAATAATTTAATTGTCCATGCATGTATTTTCTATACAAGAATATATGAAACTTATAAGTGAAAGCCTTCTAATAACAATTTACTTTATGAAATATGAGATAAGTTTTATAACATAAAGTGGGTGATCAATTTTCTATAGTTATTAAGTAATAAACTGATTTTTATAGAATAACTACATATTAATGTAATAATGAAAGAAATATTTGAATACTTACATATGAAAGGCTAATAATTTAAAAGATATTGTAAACTATCAAAAAATAAAAAAATGAAGGAAAAAAAAAACAGAGGAAAAAAAACATTAAATATTAAAAAGAATGAGAAAAAAAGAAAAAAGTACAATGAAGTTAAGATATAAAAAGGAGAAATGAAAGAAAACAATTGAAAATGAGAGAAAAAAAAAAAGAAAAGAAATCTCAAGTGAAAAAATTAGATATGAAAAAACAATGTAAGTAAATTGAAACAAGGAAGGAAAAGAAAAAAGAATTTATAAAAAAACAAGAAGGAAAAAGAATGAAATTTTGAAAAATAAACAAGAAAGAAAAAGAAAGAAAGAAATTATAAAAAAAGAAAGAAATTATAAAAAGGAAACAAGAAAGATAAAGAAAAAAGAAATGCAAAAAAGAAGCAAGAAAGAAATTATTAAAAAGAAACAAGAAAAAGAAATTCTAAAAATGAAACAAGAATGAAAAAGAAAAAAAAAATTTTTAAAGAAATAAGAAAAAGAAAAAAATTTAAAAAGAAATAAGAAAGAAATTATTAAAAAGAAATAAAAAGAAATAAAAATTATAAAAAAAAGAAACAAGAATGAAAAAGAAATTATAAAAAAGAAACACGAAAAAAATGAAAGAAATTATAAAAAAAAAACAAGAAAAAAAAAAAAGAAATTATAAAAAAGAAAAAAAAGAAACACGAAAAATGAAAGAAATTATAAAAAAAGAAACAAGAAAGGAAAAGAAATTATAAAAAAAGAAACACGAAAAATGAAAGAAATTATAAAAAAAGAAACAAGAATGAAAAGAAATTAAAAAAAAAAAAAAAGAAACACGAAAAAATGAAAGAAATTATAAAAAAAGAAACAAGAATGAAAAAAAGAAATTATAAAAAGAAACAAAAAAAAATGAAAGAAATTATAAAAAAAGAAACAAGAATGAAAAGAAATTATAAAAAAAAAAAAAAGAAACACGAAAAAAATGAAAGAAATTAAAAAAAGAAAAAAGAAAGGAAAAGAAATTATAAAAAAAGAAACAAAAAAATGAAAAGAAATTATAAAAAAAAAAACAAGAATGAAAAAAAAGAAATTATAAAAAAGAAAAAAAAAACACGAAAAAAATGAAAGAAATTATAAAAAAAAAAAACAAGAAAAAAAAAAATTATAAAAAAAAAACACGAAAAAAAGAAAGAAATTATAAAAAAAAGAAACAAGAATGAAAAACAGAAATTAAAAAAAAAAAAAGAAAACGAAAAAATGAAAGAAATTATAAAAAAAAGAAAACAAGAAAGGAAAAGAAATTATAAAAAAGAAACACGAAAAAATGAAAAAGAAATTATAAAAAAAGAAACAAGAATGAAAAAGAAATTATAAAAAAGAAAAAAAAGAAACACGAAAAAATGAAAGAAATTATAAAAAAAAGAAACAAGAATGAAAAAGAAATTATAAAAAAGAAACACGAAAAAATGAAAGAAATTATAAAAAAAAGAAACAAGAATGAAAAAGAAATTATAAAAAAGAAAAAAAAGAAACACGAAAAAATGAAAGAAATTATAAAAAAAAGAAACAAGAAAGGAAAAGAAATTATAAAAAAGAAACACGAAAAAATGAAAGAAATTATAAAAAAGAAAAAGAAAATGAAAAAAGAAATTATAAAAAAAAAAAAAAAAAAACACGAAAAAATGAAAGAAATTATAAAAAAAAAAAACAAGAATGAAAAGAAATTATAAAAAAGAAACACATTAAAAAAATGAAAGAAATTATAAAAAAAGAAACAAGAATGAAAAGAAATTATAAAAAAAAAAAAAAGAAACACGAAAAAATGAAAGAAATTATAAAAAAAAAGAAACAAGAAAGGAAAAGAAATTATAAAAAAAAACACGAAAAAAAATGAAAGAAATTATAAAAAAAGAAACAAGAATGAAAAGAAATTATAAAAAGAAAAAAAAGAAACACGAAAAATGAAAGAAATTATAAAAAAAAGAAACAAGAATGAAAAAGAAATTATAAAAAGAAACACGAAAAAATGAAAGAAATTAAAAAAAAAAAAAACAAGAATGAAAAGAAATTATAAAAAAAAAAAAAAAAAACACGAAAAAATGAAAGAAATTATAAAAAAAAGAAACAAGAAAGGAAAAGAAATTATAAAAAAGAAACACGAAAAAATGAAAGAAATTATAAAAAAAAGAAACAAGAATGAAAAAGAAATTATAAAAAAGAAAAAAAAGAAACACGAAAAAATGAAAGAAATTATAAAAAAAAGAAACAAGAATGAAAAAGAAATTATAAAAAAGAAACACGAAAAAATGAAAGAAATTATAAAAAAAGAAACAAGAAAGGAAAAGACAGAAATTGTTAAAAAGAAACAAGAAAGAAAAAGAAAAATGAAATTATTGTATGAAACAAGAATAAAAAAGAAAAGAAATGATAAAAACAACTAAAATCATTTGTTCCAATGTCTGGTGATCTTCTGCTATCCAATGGCTTCCGAATAGTTTTGTCTATCCAATTTTGTTCACATGGCATGGTTTTCAGGCACTTTCCAAAGATGATGCATGCTGGGACCAACTTCCCAGGTTGCTATTAGGAAGAAGTCAAAATCCTTGACAAATTAACTTCAGTGAGATTCGAACCTGGGTCTCTTTTTTCCCCAGTTTCTTCTTTCTTTGAGTTCAATTTCTTTCTCTTTTTCTCTAACTCTTTTTTATCTTTCTCTTTTCTCGCTGTTCTTTCTGCTTTCACACAGATGGGTGCGTTCAAACGTTTGTTTATATGATCTGCTCCTTTTCCTTTGATAAACCAGCTCTACGCAATAACGACACAAGCTGTTTTAGATTTCTGAAAGAGAAATAAATTTAAAAAGTTTCAAGTAATATTTCTAAACATTACATAATCTAATCTAGAAGCAGGATACTGTTACATCAGCCAAAACAATTAATGACTGCCAAATAGGAAAAGTAAAATTAAAAACAAAAAAAAAAAAACTTTAGTATTGTAGTGATATGTAGTTTAACTAATTAACATATCCGGAATACTCAGGCTATATAACTACGCATGCGCATAAAGTAGAAAGACGAAGGACTTACGACTTCTCAACAATGACGTTGCCCATAGGATACATTAGAGAATCCTGATTTTGTGGATGTGTGGATAAGACTAAGAGCGTTCGCGGCTAAAGCGAGGACAAAGAAATGGAGAAACAGGCATGTTAAAAATCATCAAGACGAAACCTACCCTTAAAGTATGAAATGTCTGACGAAGAAATGTCCATAGATATTTCAAGTAATGAAATGTCTGAAGATGAATATAGTTATGCTCAAGTGGGGTAATATGATTCGGAAACTGAAGAGGAGCAGTCATTACCCGAATACGGCAATGAGAACGAGAGAAAAGAAAATAGATCAAAATCTCCCAGAGAAAGAAATGCCTTAAGATTGTGGGAGAGAGAAAGACAGCCTGAAAACGAAATGAAAGAAGCACAAAAACCAAGAGGCACAAAAAAACCTCTTCGTTACAGAGAAATGTTGTGATAAGTAGATTAACATATCCGGAATACCCAGTGCCGGATTTACCTATAGGCTTATCAGGCTGAAGCCTCAAAATCTAGGGAGTCTCCAGCAAAAGTGTATAATATTTTTTACACTGTCATAGGCATTTCTTACACATACTGTTAGAACACATCGTAAACTATAAACAACACTTCAGTAATTTTCCTTAGATTCAGTTTCAGAATAATACCGTCTTAAGCCGATAATTCGATGCTAGGATTGATTTCTTTATAGATTTTTTTTTTAAAATTTTAACATTTTTTCAATCATATACTGTATTTAGCAATAATATCTTATGTCCATTAGAAGAGGAATTGTCTACTGTGGAATTTTAAATATCTGTCATCAATAATGAATCCTGGTAGGACTTCTAATTCTCTCAGAATTTCCTCGCTGTATAGGTTGAATAAACCCGGTGAGAAGACACGTCCTTGTCTTACACTCTTTTCGATTTTTGTATATCTGCTGAACTCATTTTTATGTCCGTATACAGGCGATTTGCTGCCAGTATAGATTCTTGAATATTCTAATATCTTTCCTGAATATGTCAAGATTGCTGAGCAGCTCTAGAATTCAAAAAGGCATTATAGATTTATAACAAAACTTATGTGTTTTTCCTACAGAAATAAAGCTGTCATATTTGTCTAATATTGAGTCTCCCGAGACAGAGAAATTTGAATTAACACAGTTTTTTTTACCCATGAGAACCTTCTAGAAAGGACGCCATATTTTGTGTTTCACTTGCAGACGATCTTATTTAAGAAC